CTCCTAGCAATCACTGAATGCAGATACTGTATGGACCTCTAGTGTAGCTACTTTATAGAAATACGTTTTCTTTCTTTCTTTTTTTTTTTTTTTTTTTTTTTTTTTTTTGACAGGCAGAGTGGACAGTGAGAGAGAGAGACAGAAAGGTCTTCCTTTGCCGTTGGTTCACCCTCCAATGGCTGCCATGGCTGGCACGCTGTAGCCAGTGCACCGCGCTGATCCAATGGCAGAAGCCAGGAGCCAGGTGCTTTTCCTGGTCTCCCATGGGGTGCAGGGCCCAAGCACTTGGGCCATCCTCCACTGCACTCCCGGGCCACAGCAGAGAGCTGGCCTGGAAGAGGGGCAACCGGGACAGAATCCGGCACCCCGACCGGGACTAGAACCCAGTGTGCCGGCGCCGCAAGGCGGAGGATTAGCCTAGTGAGCCGCGGTGCCGGTGAAATACATTTTCAATGTAAAACACAAATAGGGGGTGCTGGGTGCTGTGGCACACCCAGTTACGCAGCGGCCACAGCACCCAGAAGTGCCAGCATACCATGTGGGTGCTAGTTTGGGACCTGGCTCCTCCACTTCTAATACAGCTCCCTGCTAAGGCTCCTAGGAAAGTAGTGGAAGATGATCCAAATCCTTGGGCCCCCCGCACCCAAGTGGGAGACCTAAAAGAAGCTCCTGGTTCCCGGCTTTGGCCTGGTACAGCCCTGGCCATTGAGGTTATTTGTGGAGTGAACCAGAGGATAGAAGATCTCTCTGTCTTTCCTCTCTCTCTCTTAAATCTACCTTTCAAATAAATAAATAAACTTTTAAACACACACACACACGCACACACACACACACACATACAAATGGATAAAAAGCAAAAGGATGGAAAAAGATATACCACATGAAAACTAAAAATAGAATATCTATATGAGTGTCAGACAAAATAGGTTTCAGAGAAAAGAATATTACCAGGAATAAAAATAGGTAATTTTATAATGAAAAAGAGGTCAATTCATTAAGAGTACAAAAAAATCCTCAGCATTTATGCACCTACTCAGAGTTTCTAAATATATGAAGCAAAAACTGACAGAACTAAAAGGAACTGGCAAATCCAAAAATATACTCAGGAAATTCAGTATCCCTCTCTCAATAATTTACAGATCAACTAGACTGAAAACAAATACATTAAAAAATTTGAAGACTGGCCGGCGCTGTGGCTCACTAGGCTAATCCTCCGCCTTGCGGCGCCGGCACACCGGGTTCTAGTCCCGGTTGGGGCGCCGGATTCTGTCCCGGTTGCCCCTCTTCCAGGCCAGCTCTCTGCTGTGGCCAGGGAGTGCAGTGGAGGATGGCCCAAGTGCTTGGGCCCTGCACCCCATGGGAGACCAGGAGAAGTACCTGGCTCCTGCCATCGGATCAGCGCGGTGCGCCGGCTGCAGCGGCCATTGGAGGGTGAACCAATGGCAAAGGAAGACCTTTCTCTCTGTCTCTCTCTCTCTCACTGTCTACTCTGCCTGTCAAAAAATAAAATAAAAACCTTTAGCTAACACCAAACTAAGTAAAAGACTGAAAATCCTCGTGGTCTCCCCAGAATCAGAACAACACAAGGATATCCATGTTTTTCATCTCTATTCATTACTATACTGGATGTTCTAGTCACAGCAATTAGGCAGAAAACGAAATGAAAAGCACCTAGATTAAAAGGAAAACATAAAACTATCTCTATTTTATGTATAGAAAATCTCAAGAAATCCAACGATAAATTATTAGAAATTAATTTAACAAGGTTGCTTGATATGATCAATATACAAAAATCATTTGTTATTTATATACATTAGTAATGTATCAAAACTGAAATTGAGAAAATACTTCCATTCAGACTAAGATGAGAAAGAATAAACAATAAATATTTAGGAATAAATTTAGGGGCCGGTGCTGTGGCATAGCAAGTAAAGTCACTGTTTGCGGGAAGGCATCCTATGTGGGCGCAAGTTCAAGTCCCAGACACTTCACTTCCAATCCAGCTCTCTGCTATGGCCTGGGAGTGCAGTGGAGGATGGCCCAGGTCCTTGGGCCCTGCACCCCATGGGAGACCAGGGTAAGTACCTGGCTCCTGCCATCGGATCAACGCGGTGTGCCAGCCGCAGCACACCAGCAGTGGCGGCCATTGGAGGGTGAACCAACGGCAAAGGAAGACCTTTCTCTCTGTCTCTCTTCTCACTGTCCACTCTGCCTGTCCAAAAAAAAAAAAAAAAAAAATTAAAAATTAAAAAAAAAAAAATAGAAAAAGAAGACCTGATTAAACCCAAAGTAAGCAGCAGAAAACAAACAATACAGATCAGTGCAGAAATCAATGAAGTAGAAAACATAAAAAAAGGAAAATTAATAAAACCAAAATGCAGCTCTCTGAAAGCAATAAAATTGACAAATCTCTAGCCAAACTAAACAGGAAAAAAGACACGAATTACTAGCACATGAAAGACAAAGAATTGTATGACTACATTCTAACATGTTAAAAGAATAGGAGAATAATATAAATAACTTTTTGCCAATAATTTTTTTTTGGACAGGCAGAGTTAGACAGTGAGAGAGAGAAAGAGAGAAAGGTCTTCCTTCCATTGGTTCACCTCCCTAGTGGCTGCTGCGGCTGGCGCACTGCGCCGATCCGAAGCCAGGAGCCAGGTGCTTCCTCCTGGTCTCCCACGCGGGTGCAGGGCCCAAGCACTTGGGCCATCCTCCACTGCCTTCCCGCACCACAGCAGAGAGCTGGACTGGAAGAGGAGCAACCGGGACAGAATCCAGTGCCCCAACCAGGACTAGAACCCAGGTTGCCAATAAATTTGACAGATGGAATATACAAATGCCATAACAGACAAATTATCAAAACTCACTCAAGAGAAAACAGATAACCTAAATATCCTTATGTCTATTTTAAAGAATGAACCTCTAGCAAAACTTAAAAACCTCCCTCCTAGCGGCCGGCACCGCGGCTCAATAGGCTAATCCTCCACCTTGCAGCGCCGGCACACCAGGTTCTAGTCCCGGTCGGGGCGCCGAATTCTGTCGTGGTTGCCCCTCTTCCAGGCCAGCTCTCTGCTGTGGCCCGGGAAGGCAGTGGAGGATGGCCCCATGGGAGACCAGGATAAGTACCTGGCTCCTGTGTGGTGCGCCGGCCGCAGCGCACCAGCCACGGTGGCCATTGGAGGGTGAACCAACGGCAAAGGAAGACCTTTCTCTCTGTCCTTCTCTCTCTCACTGTCCACTCTGCCTGTCAATAAACAAATAAACAAACAAACAAAAAACCTCCCTCCCATAAGGAAAACTCCAAGGGCAGGCACTATGGCACAATAGGTTAAGCCTTAGGGCTCCTACAACCTTAATGACAATCGCCAGAGCTTCCAACCCAGCTTCCTGCTAAGGTGCCTGGGACACACATGATGATGAGTCATACTTAGGTTCCTGCCACCCACAAGGGAAGACTGGCTCTTGGCTTCAGCCCAGCCCAGCCAAGTTTATTGTAGGCATTTGAGAAATGAACCAGCAGATGAAAGATCTTTTTCTCTCTCTACCAGCTTGTCTTGGAAGGAGAGCTAATAACCAACATAGAACAGACAAGAAATAAAATACACAGTCTGGAAACAAACCTACACATTTGTAGTCAACTGATTTTTGACAAAAGTGCCAAATTAGTTCAATAGGGAAAGAACAGTCTTCTCAACAAATGCTGCTGCAACAACTGGAAATCCATTGGCAAGAAACAAAAACAGGGGCTGGCGCTGTGGTGTGGCGGGAAAGCCACCGCCTTTAGTGCCGGCATCCCATATGGGCACCGGTTCAAGTCCCAGATGCTTCACTTCCAATCCAGCTCTCTGCTGTAGCCGGGGAAAGCAGGAGAAGATGGCCTAAGTCCTTGTGTCCGAAAGAAACTCCTGACTTTGGATTGGCACAGCTCCAGCCGTTGTGGCCAATTGGAGAGTGAACCAGCGGATGGAAGACCTCTACCTCTCTCTCTCTCTCTCTCTCTGCCTCTCCCTCTCTGTGTAGCTCTGACTTTCAAATAAATACACAAATCTTAAAAAAAAAAAAAAAAAAAAGCTATGTATGGCTTTCAAACATTTTTTGCACCACAAAATAAACTTATCTTTAGTTCCATTTTCCATGAACTCTTTGAAGTACTTTTTTTTCTTCTTATCTGGGACAGGGCAGAGTGGACAGAGAGAAAGGTCTTCCTTTGCCGTTGGTTTACCCCCCAATGGCGCTGCAGCCAGCGCACTGCGCTGATCCAAAGCCAGGAGCCAGGTGCTTCTCTTGGTCTCCCATGTGGGTACAGGGCCCAAGCACTTGGGCCATCCTCCACTGCACTCCCAGGCCACAGGAGAGAGCTGGACTGGAAGAGGAGCAACTGGACAGAATCCAGCGCCCCGACCGGGACTAGAACCTGAGGTGCCGGTGCCACAGGCGGAGGATTAGCCTATTGAACCACAGCGCCAGCCTGAAGTACTCTCATAAGACAAACAAATTTAAAATGGGCAAACTATTTTGAGGCATTTCACCAAAGAATATATACAAATGGCTACTAAGTACATGAAAAGATGCTTAACATCATTAGGCGTTAGGGAAACTCAATTTAAAACACAATGATACAACACCAGAGCTCCTTCCTCTAGAACGGCTATAATTAAATAGACTAACAACCCAAGTGTTGATGAGAATGTGAAGAAACAAGAACTCTTCAGTCATACTGGTGAAGGAAAATGAGTATAACCATCACTTTGGAAAACAGGCAGTTTCTTCAAAAGATAAAGATACCATAGGACCCCATAACTTCAAAACTGCAATGACAGAAAGTAGATCATTTGTTGCCTGGGGGGTGGGAGAATAGGACTGCAGTGAGCAAAAAAGAACTTTTTTGGATGTTCCAAGCGTTCAGAAACTGCACTGTGGTGATGGTTTCACCACTGCATATATTTACTTCAACTCACTGAACTGTACAGTTACGATAATCAAAAGTATTCACTTACCATTGTAGCCTTCAAGAACAGAATCAATAATAGGTCTCGCAGTTAAGTTATAAACATCAAGTTGTTTACTCTCTGGTCCAAAAACAGTATCAAAAGTAAAGGTCTTCGGAGGTTCATTGGAAGAATCAGTCTTATGCACAGTGATAGTCCCCCTCATCTCATCCACACTGACAGCCTGCTTGTAGAACATGGATTTCTCTCTCTCATTGAGGGGCCGGCACCTAACAACGACCTTCACATTATCGCAGCTTTCTGGCTTCTCTGATTTATTGATCTGGTGGAGACAATTTTACAAATAATGAAAATGAGCACTGACATCTATCCTCAACAAATTAAATGTATAATCTGCAAAAGGGTGCTCTGTCATCTCAGTGGCTTTGCACGTGTTAGGACTTCAAAAAGATTTGTCAAATAAAGATATTTTACAGAAAAAGATATTAAAGGATGAAAGGGAAAAGTTAATTTTACAACACAGAAGAGAAAAACTTCATTTACATTTGTAGTAAATGCTGTTCAAGCAGAAAATGAATTCGCAAATTATAGACTTTCTGCCCAAAAGTCTCTGACATCCTCTGAATTTCCTGCCTACTGGAAAACACACGTGAAGTGAGTAAAAGCTTGAATCAAGAATTTAGTAGGTGCTACCCCGAGACTTCTAGTTTTATTTTCTATAAAGCATTAGTAAACTGTTTTCTGTCATACATCATATATGATTTATTTATCTTCTCAACAGAAGGCAAGTTAAAGATGGGAAAAAAAAGTCCAGCAGTAGACAGAGAACAATACCATAGTATGATCTAACCTTAAGAACATTTGTATAAGTTTCAATTTTTGAAATTTTATATGATTTAAGAACTTGTATTAAAACACAATCACATTACAGAAGGGAAGACGTTCAACAGGTTAACTGAACAGATACTTGTGAGTTCTTGCTTCAGATACCTTTCAAATCATTCAAGAGTTACAAATCTAAGTCACTGTCACTGATTTTGACATTGTCATTGACAAGTAACAGCACACACTGACACAATAAACTTCTCTCCATCTGTATCTTCATCACCTTAGTCTAGGTAACAGCATCTGGGCCCTGGATTATAGCCTCCTAATTGTACTCTGACATCTGATTAGATCACTCCCTGTTCTCGACAAGGCACTCAAAGCCAACAGTAATCTAACCATCTCAATTTCCTATTTAAAATTCTCCACACACACACAAAAAAGTTTGCCATAAATGTTGGGACAAAAAAATCAAAACCCTTAAGATGGTCCCTAACACTGGGTTCCCTCCTATGTCTACCTCTCCAGGCTTGCTTCAGGCCTATCAGCCACAGCATCACCCTGGCTTACTGGCATCTGCTCACCGACAAGCTCCTGCTCACCGCTGTCTCTCCATGGGCTGTTCCGTTTGCCTAGAACATTCCTCACTCCTCTCCTCACTCAGAAAACGACCACTTATTCCTCAGATCTTAGCTCAATGCAAGCCTCTCGGAAGCTTTCCTGGGCTAGGGAAGGTACTTTCAGGCTCTGAGACCACCCCACGCTCCCCTTGGTGGACCTGATTTTACTTCTGCTTCTACCTTACCTGATTAACGTTTGCCTACACCAGAGGCTGTAAACAGGTAGTGATGTCTTGTTTGGCTCATGGTATTTACAAATCTCAGGAATTAGTTGGTAAAATTGGAAAATATCACAAAATGAGCGATTTCTGCAATCTCTTTTTCTAAAAATGGTCGATCTATGGTTCAGCAATCTCACGTGGCAACATTTCCCATCCCACAGAATCCGCTCGTTTCTAAGTGTCTTCTCTCCATAAAGGGGTATGGTGTTCACCAACACCACAGAGGGCAAAAAGCTCTATTTTCTAGCTCTAAGGCCTCGCATGCGGTTGCTGCCCACTATGCACTGAAAGAATTAATAACCTGAAAGCAACGGACAGGAACAAACACGGAGCACTACTGGACGCTGAATGTCAAGCACCGCCCTTCC